CTCAGCCTCCCAAAGGCGCGGGATTACAGGCTGAGCCACCAAGCCCGGCTAACATATTTCAATAAAATAGAAAGACTAGAGATGCATAGCATGATATCGTTGGAGGGCAGCCTCATTAAAAATAACTCGTTTGGCCTGGTGTGGTGACTCATGCCTATAATCCCAGCACTTTGGGAGGCTGAGGTGAGTGGATTGCCTGAGCCCACGGGTTCGAGACCAGCCTAGGTAACTTGGCGAGACCTCATCTCTACAATAAATAAAAAAAATTAGCCTGACGTGGTAGCACATGCCTGTAGTTCCAGCTACTTGGAAGGCTGAGGTGGAAGGATCACCTGAGTCCAGCAGGTCGACTCTGCAGTGACTGTGAGCGTGCCACTGCACTCCAGCCTGGGTGACATTATGAGACTCCAACTCAAAAAAAAAAAAAAACCAAAAAACTTTAAAGTCATTGGGCAGACATCTGTTGAAAGTAATAGGATTCTTAACGAAGAGTATTTCAAGCCACACCTTCCTTATAAGTGTCTTCTGTCTTATGCATTAGTACCCTTTGTTCTTCATATTACATCTGGGACCTTTAAACATGAGAAATTTGATTCTTTTGCTAGTGAGGATACCAAATAAGAATTTAGGTGAATTCAACAGATATATGGTCAACAAGGGAGTGAATGAAGTTCCAAAGGATATATGGAATTGCTTGTTTAAGAACAATGTCATTCAGAAAATACAAATAGAAATTGTACAAGAATACTGTTGTCAAGTCCACATATAATCGTCAAACCATGAAGTGTAACAGAACAGGAAAAAAAGTTTTTAAATGGAGAAAGATTCTTACCTATTTTGAAGTTAGGATCTGAGATAATCATCTGAAATTGAGTATCTCAGTGGAAATTGTATGAAAATGTAAAAAGATATGTGGGTATGAATTTGTGTATCTAGAAAATTGAACAATATATTTCACTATTTTATTACAGAATCTGTGAGAAAAATTTAAAGGAATATAATTTATAATGGGTACTTGTGCCAGATGAGTTTATTTGTGAAAGTGAACATTAATGATTAGATTTTCTTGTTTTTTTTAAAATCAGAGTCTCACTCTGTTGTTGCCCAGGCTGGAGTGCAGTGGCACACTCATGACCACCTCAGTCTCGACCTGCTGGGCTCTGGGGATCCTTCTGCCTTAGCTTTCCAAGTAACTGCAGGTGTACGCCACCATGCCTGGCTAGTTATTTTTTTGATTTATTGTAGCGGTGAGGTCTCACCAAGTTGCCCAGGATGATCTTGAACTTGAGACTCAGGCAATCCATTCACCTCAGCCTCCCAAAGTGCTGGGATTACAGACGTGAGCCACCACACACAGCTAATGAATGGATTATTAGCTAGTAGTGCATCTACTCTGGGCATAGTTTGATCTATACTAACTATAATTGTTAAGGTTCTTGTCTGTGCATAACATTTTCAAAAGTTTAACATACATTATATATTAATTCCATTTTAGCATCTTAGCACTATTTTTTAGAGGAAGTAGGGCAGGTAGAGATACTCTTATTCTAGAAATGGAAAAGGCAACTTTTTATAGATTTTTAATTAGCTGAACGCTTCTGTAGAGATTTTTAGGTCCTATTAATAGCTAACTGTATCCAGAACACAGAGCTCATTTGTATCTTGATATATTCACAACAACCCTGAGCTTGGTGGGTGTAATAAATGTTTGTGGCACAAAATTTAAACAATACTAAAAGTTATAAAAGGAAAGTAGAAATAGCTGGCAGTCCTTCTCAGAGATGGCTGCCATCATTTTGGTGTACCTCTTTTGCTAACTAGCTGCATTAACTTGTAGAACTATGATTTTTTTTTTTAAGTAGGAGTTTCACTCTGTCACCCAGGCTGGAGGGCAGTGGTATGCTCCCAGTCACCGCAGCCTCAATCTGCTGGGCTCAGGTGATTCTTCTGCCTCAGCCTTCCAAGTAGATGGAACTATAGGCACACACTACCATGCCTGGCTAGTTTTTGTGATTTATTGTAGAGACGAGTCTCACCAAGCTGCCCAGGGTGTTCTCAAATCCGTGGGCTCAGGCAGTCCTCTTATCTTGGCCTCCTAAAGTGCTAGAATTATAGGCATGAGCCTGGCCTAATAATTTTTACATAGACGGGGTTATACTACATGTTTTTCTACCTGTTTTTTCTTTTTCTCTTAACAGCTTATAAGTTTTTCACTAAGAATTTACTTTCAGCTGGGCTCGGTGGCTCAGCCTGTAATCCCGCGCCTTTGGGAGGCTGAGGTGAGTGGATTGCCTGAGCCCGCGGGTTCAAGACCTGCCTGGGCAGCGAGACCTCATCTCTACAATAAATAAATAAATCAGCTGGGCGTGGTAGCTCATGCCTGTAATTCCGGGTACTTGGAAGGCTGAGGCGGAAGGATTGCTGGAGCCCAGCAGGTCGAGGCTGTGGTGGCCGGGAGCGGCCACTGCACTCCTGTCTGGGAGACAGAGTGAGACACCAACTCAAAAAACAACAAAAAAAAAGCGTTTACTTTCATATGTTTAAATATTAGCTTATCTTGTAATTTTTTGGTTTTACTAAGGTTTTCCATATTAATAACAATTTTTTTATTTTTTGAAGGACCTATACATGTTAGTTCAATTATCACTGAAGACAAAAAGAAAAGTAGAGAAATACAACAGAGCATTTCAGAAGATGGGGAAGACATTACGGTTTTACAAGAAAATAATGAAGGGCGGAAAACACTTCTTGTTGAGAATGAACTTAAAAATGAAAAGAAAGAAAAAGCTGAATTAAATAAACATATTATTAGTCTGCAGCAGGAACTCTCTGTTGCTGAAACAAAGAACTTAACATTATGTATAGAGGTCCAAAAAATTCAGTCAAATTATGACAGTGCAATTGCTGAATTACATGTGCAGAAAGGTAAAAATCAAGAACAGGAGGAAATGATTATGAAATTGTCAAAGGAGGTAGAAACTGCTACAAGTAGCATTACAAATAATGTTTCAAAAATAAAATTAATGCAGACAAAAATAGATGAACTCCGTACACTTGATTCAGTCTCTCAAATCTCAAACATAGATTTATTCAGTCTCAGGGATGTATCAAGTAGTTCTCAGGAGAATAATTTGCCAAATACACAGTTACACCTTGTAGGCAGTGATTATTTGGTAAAAAAGCCAGATAAAGAATATTATGTTCAGAATCTTGGTAGAGAAAATTCTTTTCACTCTAGTATTGAAGCCATTTGGGAAGAATGTAAGGAGATTGTGAAGGCGTCCTCCAAAAAAAGTCAGCAGATCCAGGAACTGGAACAGCAAATTGAAAAATTACAGACAGAAGTAAAAAACTGTAAGGATGAAAACAATAGACTAACAGTAGAAGAAAGGGATCATAATAATCAAGATGACCTTCTAAAAGAGAAAGAAAGTCTTATACAGCAGCTGAAAGAAGAGTTGCAAGAAAAAAATATTAGTCTTGATGTTCAAGTACAGCTTGTAGTTGAAGGAAAGAGAGCACTTTCAGAACTTGCACAAGATGTTACTTGCTATAAGGCAAAAATAAAGGAACTTGAAACAATCATAGAGACTCAGAAAGATGAATGTGGGCATTCAGCCAAACTAGAACAAGACATTTTGGAAAAGGAATCTGTCATTTTAAAGTTAGAAAGAAATCTGAAGGAATTTCAATCAGATCTTCAGGATTCTATCCAAAACAGCAAACATTTAAATGAAAAGGAAGTTAAGTTGAAAGAAGAAATTACACGATTAACAAATAATTTGCAAGATGTGAGGCATTCACTTCAGTTAAGGGAAGAAGAAAAAGAAATCAACAAGCAAGAAACAGACAAGTAAGCTAAATGGTATTTAAAGCATTTTAACATATGCAAAGCATTTATTTTACTATGAAGCTTTTAAACAGATGCTTATAGTTAATCTGGTAAAGTGTAGCATGTATGATGAGTGAAGAATTTGAGCTCTCTCCATATGGATTTTTGGAACCATAAGTTCTGCGAAAAGATCAACTTATAAAAAAATCACATGAAATCCTCACTGAAGGACTCATTCATAGTTTGGACATTGAAAATTTGTGAAAAGATGTAACTTGTAAAGATTGTTAGCAGTTCATATGCTTGATCCTAAGTGGTTAATGGTGCATCACTATAGAAAAGTGGTTTGTTGTTTTTTAGATTGAAGGAGCAGCTCTCTGCAAGCTCTGCTCTTACCCAGGATTTGAAAGCAGATCTTCAGAGGAAGGAAGAAGATTATGCTGAGCTGAAGGAGAAGCTGACTGATGCCAAAAAGCAGATTGAGCAAGTACAGAAAGAGGTAGGTTTTCTGAAAAGTTGGATGACCAGTTTAGTATGATAACGAATTTTTTCCCCTTATATCAAGTTTAGACTTTAATCTTAGGATTGATTAGAACATTTGTCAATTTTATAATTTTTCTTAAAATGACCAGTACAGTTGTTTTACAAAAGAAGATTTGGGCATTTTAAACAAACTGAAGAATGTCTATCATTAAGAAAAATTTGCATCTTATGTAGGATGGAAATCTTTTTCTTCCTTTAAAAACTGCTGAATCCAATTTCTTCCAAAAAAGTAGAAACTAACTTTTGTTTGCAAATAGTATTTAGGAGAGTATGTAATATGATTTTTTTTAAAAAAATTATTATATTTTAATTTTTATTTATTTATTTTTTGACTTGGAGTCTCACTCTGTTGCCCAGGATGGAGCGCAGTGGCAACACTCACAGCCATCACAGTCTCGACCTGCTGGGCTCAGGCCATCCTTCCACCTCAGCCTTCCAAGTAGCTGGAACTATAGGCATGTGCCACCATGCCTGGCTAATTTTTCTTTATTGTGGAGATGAGGTCTCGCCAAGTTGCCCAGGCTGGCCTTGAATCCCGGGACTCAGGCAATTCTTTCACCTCGGCCTCCCAAAGTGCTAAGGTTACAGGCTTGAGCCACTGTGCCCAGCCTATAATTTAATTTTTAAATAGGGAATACAATCACGATGCCACATTCAAAATATATATTCAGTGAGGGAAAAAAAAAGTCCCCCCCCTTACCCATCAAGTTTTCCTTATAGGCATCAAATGTTACCAATTTCTTTATCTTTGTAATATTTCTCCCTCCATTTTTCTTTGTCTTTTCCTAAAAAAAGTGAAAACATCTTATAAACACTGTTCTTTTCACTTAATATTGTATATCTTGTATATCTTGTGACTCAAGCCTGTAATCCCAGCACTATGGGAGGCTGAGACGAGAGGATTGCCTGAGCCCAGGGGTTCAAGACCAGCCTGGGTAACCTGGGAGACCTTGTCTCTACAATAAAAAATCAAAAAATGAGGTGGGCTCAGTACTATGCGCCTATAGCTCGAGCTATTTGGAAGGCTGAAGCAGAAGGATCCCTGATCCCAGTAGGTCGAGGCTACTGGTGGCCGTGAGCATGTCACTACATTCCAGCCTGGGCGACAGAGTGAGACTTCAATTCTAAACAAAACAAAAACAGTTGTATATCTTGGTTGTCATTCCCTGTAATCCCAAAACTTTGGAAGGCAGAGGTGAGAGGATTGCCTGAGTCCAAGGGTTTGAGACTAGCCTGGGCAACTTGGCGATACCTCCTCTCCACAATAAGTCAAAAAGTTAGCCAGTTGTGGTGGCGTGTGTCTGTATCCCAGATACTTGGAAGGCTAAAGCAGAAGGATTGCCTGAGCCCAGCAGGTTGAGGCTGCGGTGGCCGTGAGTGTGCCACTGCACACCAGCCTGGACGACAGAGTGAGACTCGGACTCAAAAAAAAAATTATTTTTTATTGCTTTGTTTGTTATAAAAGAATATGTAAATGAATAAGGTCTGATGAATATTGATACAACAAATGCTTATGGCTCCCATCCCAATTTTTTTTTTTTTTTTTTTGAGTCGGAGTCTGTTACCCAGGCTGGAATGCAGTGCATGATCATGGCTACTACATCCTTTACCTGCTGGGCTCAGGCGATCCTTCACCTTGAATTTTCAAGTAAATGGGATTACAGGTGTGTGCCACCATGCCCAGCTCCTATTTATTATAGAGACGAGTTCTCACCATGTTGGCCAGGCTGATCTCAAGCTTCTGGCCTCAGGTGTTCCTCTCGCTTTGACCTCCTAAAATGTGAGGATTACAGCCTTGAGCCAGTGTGCCTGGCCAAATTCTGTGTTTTCTATCACCAAAGAAATGATTATATGAATATTATCTTTATTTATTTCTTAGCTTTAAAAAGTACAATTAAATATATTTGGTTTTTTATCTCTAAATGGCATATTCTGAGACTTTTTCCCATCATATTCTTTTTTTTTTTTTTTAACGATGTGGGTTGCAATTCAGGATTAGGTAAATAAGTGGTTGCTGTACAGGGAAAGTTTGGGCCTCCCTTTGGTCTCCACTTCGCCTGGTTTGAGATCAGGTAGTCTTATTGATGCTGTGTGCCCTCCCTACCATCATGTTCTTAAGATTGGTTTATTTTGTGTAGTTGTAATTAATGCAGTGTGATGTTCCATTGTGTGACTATACCACACAATTTATCTCTTTTTCTGTTGATGACCATTTAGATTATGTATTTTTTTTTTTGCCTTTAGAAACAGTGCTATTATCTTCCATATGTTCTTGGTACCCATGTACAAGAGTAGAATTACTGCATAAGAGGATATGAAGGGTTATCTTATTGTAGTTTTAATTTGTGTTTAATTGCTAATGAGGTATAGCATTTATTTATATTTTTATTAGCTGCTTGTCTATTTCACTTCTACTTGGAAGTCATTTGTTTATATTTTTAAAAATTATGCTATCCTTTTTATTGAAAATATTGTATGTAGTTTTCCTTTATTCTTTTTTTTGAGTCAAGATCTCACTGTGATGCCCATCCCAGAGATTCTTCTGCTTCAGCCACCCCCTCCTCTCCTCCCCCGGTGGGGGCTACAGCCAGGCGTCACCACGCCTGGCTAATTTTTTGATTTTTTTTTTGGTAGATATCAGGTTTCACTTCGTTGCCAAGGCTGGTTCTCAAACTCCTGGGCTCAAACAATCTTCCCACTTTGGCCTCCCTAAATGCCACCATGCCCGGCCAGTTTTTTAAAATTCTTGATTCTAATTCTTTGTCAGTTAAATATGTTGCAGATATCTTCTAGTTCTCCCCTTGTCTTTTGATAATAAAAGTTCTTTTTTTTTTTAATTTGGAGTCTCACTCTTTCACCCAGGCTGGAGAGCAGTGGCATGCTTGACCTGCTTGACTCAGGCAATCCTTCCACTTCAGCCTCCCAAGTAACTGGGACTACAGGTGTGTGCTGCCACGCCCAGCTAATTTTTTAATTTATTGTAGAGATGAGGTCTCACCAAGTTGCACAGGCTAGTCTCAAACTCGGGCAATCCTTTCACCTCAGCTTCCCAAAGTGCTGGGATTATGGGTGTGAGCCACCATGCCCAGCTTAATAAAAGGTCTTAAACAGTTATTTTCTACCATTCTTTCTAAACTCAGACCACCTACCTTATTCTGCATATATCCTCAACATAAAGCTCGTATCCTTCTGTGTTCCATTTATCTCCATGATTCTTTTTTCTCTAGTTTTTGTTATCTCCAGTATTTCTTACTTTTTTTTGCTAGCTCCTCAGTATGTTTTAAAAGATTTTGTAAAAATACAGCTGAGCACAGTGGCTCGCACCTGTAATCCCAGCACTTTGGGAGGCTGAGACCGGAGAATCGCTTGAGCCCAAGACTTCAAGAGCAGCCTGGGCAACATAGCGCGAACTGGTCTCTTTAAAAAAAAAAAAAGAAATGAAAAATTAACCCGGCATAGTGATGCTTACCTGTAATCCCAGCTACTTGGGAGGCTAATGCTGTATTGTCTGAGCCTAGAAGGTCAAGGTTATAGTGAGATTCTTGACTCAAAAAAAATGTATCAGCACTTTTTGTAGTTTTCTTACCTACTTGACATCAACATTCTAGAATAATTTTTCATTTTGAACTTAAGAAAATGTCTACCACCGGGCTCGGTGGCTCAGCCTGTAATCCCGTGCCTTTGGGAGGCTGAGGTGAGTGGATTGCCTGAGCCCGCAGGTTCGAGACCTGCCTGGGCAAGTTGGCGAGACCTCATCTCTACAATAAATAAAAAATCAGCTGGGCATGCTAGTGTGCACCTGTAGTTCCAGCTACTTGGAAGGCTGAGGCAGAAGGATCCCCGGAGCCCAGCAGACTGAGGCTGCGGTGGCCGAGAGCGGCCACTGCATTCCAGTCTGGGCGACTGAATAAGACTCCAACTCAAAAAAAAAGAAAATGTCTACCTTTCATAGCATATTATAAATTAAAGATTAATGAAAAACTGGAAATGCAAATGAACTTTTTGATGAAATAAATTATAGTTTTTATGACTGTAAGCCCATAGTGTAGAGAAGAGGAAGGGGAGAAGGAGCTGTTGTTGTGGATGTAGTCCCTATGCATCTGTCTGTTTTCTATGAGCAAAGGTTTTTTTTTTTTTCTTCCCACCAACTTCCTAAGCACTATGGTACTGGGAAGCGTTGTCCTAAGTTTTGTTGCTTTATTTATAGTGATTTGTAGTGATGCATAAATTGTTTCTCTTATTACCTTATTAGTGGTTAAATTCTCAGATTTATTGTTAGTGTATTTATCAGTATTCTGATTTAAGTACAGTGTTAAGCACTAAGTTTTATGATAATAAGGGAAAATGCTTATATTACAATGTTATGTAATAGAAGGTAGACCCAATTTTATATATTTAATAGGTTTAAAACCTTGAACAATTTGCATGGTAATACAGGCTGCAAGGGAATAACATCAAAATATAAATATATTTGTGGGTGGAAGACATGAAGAGAAACGTTTCAGTTAATGGCATTTGGGTTCAGTACTGTCTGAGGTTTTCAGGTAACCACTGAGGGTCTTGGAACACATCTTCTGTGGTTAAGGGGGACTACTGTATAACTCGACTAAGTTTACTCCGCTAGTAAGTGGTAGAGCCTGAGTGAAAACGGAGGCAGTCCTTGCATGAATCTTTGTGCAGTACATACCCTCTATTTATTGTTGATTATCAGTTTATATCTATATAATTGATGAGGATGGTGTTTATTACTGGAAGCCTCATATTTTTAAAAGAATGGAAAAAAATACATATTAATGTATGATTATAAAAGAAATATATCTTTATTGTATTGGGAACATACAGAAAGCCTGAAACAAAATGTAAGAAGGCCCTGAAACCATGCCACACTGAGCTACTATTACTGTGACTTCATTTATTCCATAGATTTTTGAGCTCTGTAGGGGGTATGAAAATGGAATTCTGGCAGTAAAGCTTCACAGAGGAAATAGAGAGAGGGCATTGCTACCAGTTGGATAACTTCCTTCTGGAAATCCTGGCAAGACACATTGAAAAGTCCCAGAGAGGGTTGGCATGATAGAAACTGGTATAAGGACATATACAGATTACCTTCTTTTTTGGAGGGGGGGTGAGGATTTGTATAGTGCCTCTGATTTCTTTATAGAAATAGATCAATCAGTTGACTTTCACTTGTATGGGTACCTTTTGATTTTGGAATTGTTACATTTTCATTTCCTGCATATCATTATGAGATTTTAAAATATTTGCTGCATTACTGGATTATATTATTCAATAACCTTTGGAAATTTGAGCCAGTGTTCTTCCCTTAGAGTATCTTTCTTGATTTTTCCATGGTAATTATTTTGCAATTACATGTGAGGGTTATTTTTTTTAGTTTTTGTTTTTTGAGTCAGGGACTTAATTCTGTTTTCCTGACTGAAGTGCAGTGGCATGATCACAGCTCACCACAATTCCTGGGCTCAAGTGATCCTCCTGTATCAGTCTCCTGAGTAGCTGGAATTATAGGAGTATGCCCTCACACCCGTTAGTTTTTTTAAATTATTTTTTGTAGAGACAGAGTCTTATATATTGGCCAGGATGGTCTTGAACTTCTCTGCCTCCCAAAGTGTTGAGATTATAGGCGTGAGTCACTCTGCCCAGCAGGTGATTCTTTTTTGAGAAGACTCAGAGAGTTTGAGACTCTTAAAATGTATAAGAATAAAATGAGCTTTTCATATGCATTCTCCAGTAGAGTATTAACACATTTTTTGATCATTTAAAGCTGTATCATGTATTCTGTTAGAATCTATAATTTTTCTAATGGGCTTTAGAGGATGTGTATCCTTGAACAAGTGGCCAATATTTTAAACAACCAAAAGCAATTCGTATTTTAAAAAATTTTAATGGTTTTATAAATGTTACTTTGTAGGTATCCATAATGCGTGATGAAGATAAATTACTGAGGATTAAAATTAATGAACTGGAGAGAAAGAAAAACCAGTGTTATCAGGAAATAGATATGAAACAGCGAACTATTCAGCAACTCAAGGTAACAGTTTTGTTTTTAAAGATATTTTAAGTACTGTCTGTTGGTGTATTTAGGGTCTAAAAAACATATAAATTGCCAGGTGCTATAGCTCAAGCCTGTAATCCCAGCACTTTGGGAGGCTAAGGCAAGAGGATTGCCTGAGCCCAGGGATTTAAGACCAACCTGCGCAACTTGGCGAGACCTCGTCTCTACAAAAAATAAAAAAAAATCGGTTGAGAGTGGTGGCACACATCTGTAGTTCCAGCTACTTGGTAGGCTAAGGCGGAAGAATTGCCTGAGCCCATCATTTTGAGGCTGCAGTGGCTGCAAGTGTGCCATTGCACTCTAGTCTGGGCGACAGAGTGAGACTCTGACTCAAAAAATAAAAGCATACTTTTAAGTAACATTCTGTTTTGACCTTTTCTGGAACCTATGTTACTTTAAATAAGCCGGTAGTGACTGATTTCTAACAAATAGGGTTTGGAAAGGAAAATATGATAAATTTATAGTGGAGATACCTAGCAGATACCACTTTGCCCATGTGTTCATGAATAATATTCCCAGTAGTAAGTCATATTGATGGCCAGGTACTTCCTGATTTGATGTGACCAGAAGGGCATATTCGCTCTTGTATTCTTCCCCAAGTCCACAACCTCAGTTGTGGAAAACATCTGACAAACCAAAATTAAGTATTTTCTTAATTTTCTAATACTTGACCAGTATAAAGTCTCAAGGACATTAAAGTTGAGGAAAGACTGAGGAACTGTCACAGACTGGAGGAGACTAAGTAGACATGATAACTAAATGCAGTGTTAATCTCCTAGATGGGATCCTAGGACAGAAAAAGGGCAGCAATGGAAAAACTGGCGAATGGTGGTAAAGTCTGTAGTGTAATTAATAGTATTTTACCAATGTTAATTTCTTGATTTTTTTGCTAAATGTATCATGATAGTGTAATGTGATTTATATTTATAATAATAATTCATTCTGAAACATAAAAAGATAGCATTAGGGGAAGCTGAGTTGAAGTTACACTGCTATCTTTGTAAATCTTGTAAACCTAAAATTATTTTGAAATAAAAAGTAAGAAAAAAGAATTATAACAAAAATTTTTTAAAATGACACTTGAAAAACAAGATCCAGATGATTATAATAGCATGTCCCAGCTACATGGGAAGCTGAGGCAGAAGGATAGCTTGAGCCCAGGAGTTTGAGGCTGCAGTTAGCTATGATTATACCACTGTACTCCAGCTTAGCTAACAGATAGAGACACTGTCTCTAAATGAAATTAAAAAAAATTTATTTGAAAGCAAAATCTCTTTATTGTAAATGGTTATTTTTACTTGATGCCAGCTAAATGGATAAGCCATCAATAAAAAATATATAGGTTTGTTGTATTTTTTTGTTTTTAATGAAGCAAATGAATGAATATTCCAGTATACACACATGATTTTAATTTCTAACTGATTATAATTCTAATAAAGCAATCTATACTTTGACAGTATCTCCAGGTTCTGTAACAATCTATTCTAAGACATATAAAGTGAGGAGACAATGGTGAAGTTAGATGAGATTGGGAATGAAGTTTCTATGACCTGACAAGTTAAAATTAGAATTGTGGATTTCTAGTCCCCATAATTTAATCTTGCCCCCTAAGGCTTCTTATTTTTTTGAATCCTTGTAGCTACTTTCTAGGCAGATGGGTTGAAGAGCTCTCTTTTTTCTGCATTTGATTTTACTGATGAGGAACTTGTTAATGGTTTTTCTGTGTTAAATACATAGTAGACCTTCGTTTTTCCTTTTTTCTCCTTTTTTTTGTGGTATATAAGAAAAGATTTATCTAAAACGTTGAGTAAATAAAATAACTGGGTTATAACTTAGACTATAAAGTGTTTTCTTTTTTTTCTTCTTTGTGCTGCTCTTACCCTACCTTTTCTCCAAGGAGAAAGAAACTTGGAAGCTTGAGACTGGTAATCAGCCCTGTAGGAGATTGGCTTCAAACTTAGTATAATACTGAGTCCTGTTTTTAAGACCCACTATTAAATATTGTTGTGTATTTAAGTTACATTTGCATTTAACTCACATTCTTTCATTTTTTAGGAGCAGTTAAGTAATCAGCAAGTGGAAGAAGCTATACAACAGTATGAGAGAGTGTGTAAAGGTCAGGATCAAATTTCTACCTGTGGTACGAAAATGAATACAAAATAGGTAGTTGTGGTAAAAATTGGTTAACATTTTTATTTGAAAATTCTGAAGTGGTGAGGGCATCATAAGATGTAACTTTATCAAAAAAGAAAAACAGTGATTCTGATGAATAATTTATTAACTTAAAGTTTGTTCTTAGAAAAATGAAAACAAGAAATATTCAGTCAAAGCAACTTTATTTTCTTGGTAATATCCAGTATTTTTTGAAAAATAAAGTCAGTCAAATTTCTATTCACAATGAATGGAATAGATTTCTGAACTCAGTTGTGTGAAAGAATATACATCAGGCCAGACGCGGTGGCTCACACTTGTAATCCCAGCACTTTGGGGTCGAGACAGCAGGATTGCTTGAATCCAGACGTTTGAGACCAGCCTGGGCAACATAGCAAGCCCTTGTCTTTAATTTAAAAAAAAATACTTCAAATAAAATATGTTTAAAATTAAACTACATTTTTTTTTTAATTAGAGTCTCATTCTGCTGCCTACGCTAGGGTACAGTGGCACGATCACTGCTACTGCAGCCTTGACCTGCAGGGCTCAGGTGATCCTACTACCAGGAAGGGTTCTCCAAGTCGTCCTGGCTGGTCTCGAACTCCTGTGCTCAGGCAATCCTCTCGCCTCAGCCTCCTTTGCAAAGTGCTGGAATTACAGTATTGAGTCAGGGTGTCCAGCTAAAATACATATTTTTAAAAAGTTTTAAAAAATCACTTAATACTTTGCCTTCAAGTCCTTTTCTTGCTCAGATTGTATTTTTACTTGGAATATTATTAAATTACTTTTATAGATGACATATACATATTTCTGTTATTACAATTTTACAAACTCTTTTCCTCATCACTCACCCCTAACTTTTTTTGTGTGTGAGTGATAGAGCTGGAATTTGAACCCAGGTTTACTTCATTTTAGAATCTTAGTCTCTCTTTACTAATTTATGTTATTTGTATTGTACTTGGGCAACAAGAGAAAGAGGTAAGACAACAAGATTATTACTTATTTAGTTGACTTGTACATTGATGGGGTTAACTTAGATGGATAACTTGGATGAGAGAATGTATCTCTGCACGCGATCCTATTTCCTTCTGCCTTCCCTAGGCTCTTGTCACCTTAACATCTACTTCCATAATCTTTTAGGATTTCCCTTTGCCTCCTTTGTCTGTTCTGGGAAATATGGACAGATCTTAGCTTTTCTGAAAAAGTTTGCCCTTGGACCAGGATGCCCTGTAGTTTTTATCATTTTAATTTTTGGCTTCTTTGCCAAATATGGTGAAGTGTGGCATAGGCCTACTGTGGCTACTTTAATCAGACTTACATCTTTCATGCTCCCAGATCACTTGTAACCCACATATTTCCAAATCTATTAGCTTTTTGCAATCCCTATTTTGTTTTGTTTTTTATATTATTTTTTTCTTCTTCTCTTTTGATGATGTTGATAATATTTTTATGTTATTTTGAAGTTATTATCTATTCTTCTTGTTATTACCCACTTGGGGCTTTTTTTTTTTTCATTTTCTAAGTGCATTTTTTTCTAACTATAAAGGCAATATGTAACTCTTCTTTCCCTTTGCCATTCTCTTGCCTCAGGTTCTTTTCTGTACTAGTTACCTCTTTTCTCTCAGAATGAGTCTCAGCTACTCTGGCAACTTTCTTCATTAAAGTATCATGTATTTTTTTCTTGTTAATTTTCTCTCTTGAGAGGTCATTTGCTCCTATGATTTTAGTTGTGTATGAGACATTCCCTTACAAACAAACAAAATTGTATTTTCAACTCTTAAGGCATTTCTTGGCTTCTAAATTTCTATTTAAGTACTAAATACCTTTCACTTAGCTATCCTTAATATTAAATCCTTTTTTAAAAAATGGAGATATAATGCACATAATATAAAATTCTCCCTTAAAAAGTGTACAGTTCAGCGAGCTTTAGTATATTCTGTTCGCAGGGTTGTGAAACCCGGTACCCATCAACAATCATATTTCCTTTACTCCAGTCTCCGGCAGCCACTAATGTACTTTCTTTCTCTATGGATTTGCCTATTATAGACATTTCATGTTAAGTCAGTTCATATAATACACTATATGACCTTTTGTAAAAGTCTGACTTTTTTTGCTTAGCATGTTTCCAAGTTTTGTCCATATTGTGGGAGTACCCATACTTTATTCCTTGATATGACTGAATTCCATTGGATGGATTTACTGCCTCTTATTTATGTATTAGTTGATGGACATTTGACTTGTTTCTAATTTTTGGCTTTGTATGCAAGTTTTTGAGTAAGCATGTTTTTAATTTTCTTAGGGATGGTAAACGAGTGCTGAGTGTTAAGCACTTGATTGTTCACTTTATAGTCATTTATTTCAGTATGATAGCTCACAGCTATCTTTAGGTATATCTTTATGTAGCTATAATGAGATATTTATCTCAGCCTTCTTTAGTTTGCTTTATTTTAATATATTTTATGTTGTATATTTTAGAGTTCTTTCTTAAAATAAAATGTAAATTATTAGAAACAGTGACTGATTAAATAATTTTTTTTTCTTTACTGCTCTAGTTTGCTGTCTTTCAAATAATAGGTGAATTGTCACTAGTGATGTTATAATTGATATTCTGGAAAGTTGATAAGTAGATATATAATTTTTTTAGTCCTAAATTTAGAGTCAAATTATAGAGTGTAACAAGGGGAGAGTTCTTTGAGTAAAATTATAATTAATTGTATAACCTGAATATATTTTCAAATCATGCTTTTTGAAAGAAAAGGTTTATAAGACAGTAGCAAGATAACTTTAATTCTAGATAGAATTCTGTTTCACTAGCACTCCTGGCAGCTTACATCAATGGACAGAAATACTGAAAATGGCTCATATAATTTTTTTTAAAATTTTTGTATTGGTTTTAAACTTTCTTTATGTGCTCTTTGAAGGAGCAGTCTTTGGGGATTTGTGTCATAAAAAGCAGCCTGAGGTTGAACTATGCATTTATAGCTTTACCATCTCTGACATCAATAGTAGTTTTGATAAGGGTCTCTGAAAACCAGAGACAAAAACTAATCTTTCCTCTTTATGTTTCCCGCAGACAGGGTTAGAATAGAGTTGCTTATAAGTCATTGCTGTAGTCATTTTTTAAGGGCCAAAACAATTTTGGCAAGGCTAGTAAAACTAACTTTCCAAAAGTCATTCCTGAGAAGCTGATTTTAAAAGCATTATGAAATATTTTATAGAGAAAGTAATTACTTGAGATATTAAAAAATAGTTCAAGCTGGGCTTGGCGGCTCAGCCTGTAATCCTGCGCCTTTGGGAGGCTGAGGTGAGTTGATTGCCTGAGCCCGCGGGTTTGAGACCTGCCTGGGCAACGAGACCTCATCTCTACAATAAATCAAAAAATCAGCCGAGCGTGGTAGCGCATGCCTGTAATTCCTGCTACTCGGAAGGCTGAGGCGGAAGGTTCGCCAGAGCCCAGCAGGTCGAGGCTGCGGTGGCCGGGAACGGCCACTGCACTCCAGTCTGGGCGACAGAGTGAGACTCCAACTCAAAAAAAAAAAAAAAAAAGTTCAAATTGAGATTGAACAATTTTTTTAGTTTTAGGAGATAAAGGTTTTAATTTTGATTTGAGAATATTAACACTAAAAATAAGTGTCTTGTCAAATAATGTTTTCTAAATCTTAAGATTTGTTTATTAGTAGTAATAATTTAGTTATATTGGAAATTGTTGATTTTATTTGAACAGATTTTTTCCACTCATCCATTTTTGCAATCATCCGAGCATCCCTCTGTACACCAAATATATATTTAGAGTAGCAACGTGTCAGTACTATTGTAGCCATCAAGGATATAGCACTGAACAAGGCAAAGTTTGTGTCTATGTAGATGGAACTCATATTCTATTGTAGTTTAATAAAAGTATATATATATTTTTTTAGTTGGAGTCTCATTCTGTCACCCAGACTGGAGTACAGTGGCACGCTTACGGCCATCCCCACATCAACCTGCTGGGCTCCAGCGATCCTTCTACATCAGCCTTTCAAGTAGCCTGAACGACAGGCGTGCTTTACCATGCCTGGCTAATTTTTGATTTACTGTAGAGATGAGTTCTCCCAAGTTGCCTGGGCTGGTCTCAAACCCGCGGACTCAGGCAATCCACTCGCCTCGGCCTCCCAAAGTACTGAAGTCATTTTCTCATAGTATTGCATTGGATGTTCAAGGTCCATTATATGAGTGAGAACATGTGAAATTCGGATTTTTGTTTTTGTGAGAGGTCACTCAGTATTATAGACTCTAGTTCCATCCAGGTTGCAGCGAAATTCATGATTTTGTTCTTTTTTATGGCTGCGTAGTATTCCATCGTGTATGTGTATTTTAATTTTTGAAGAGTTTTTTAAAAATTGTATGTCCAGATGTTATTAGTTATGAAATGTTCTCTGCAATTTTTAGAGCTAAATGTTAAAGAGAAAATAATTGAAGACATGCGAATGACAATGGAAGAACAAGAACAAACTCAGGTAGAACAAGATTGTGCGCTTGAGGCTAAATTGGAGGAAGTTGAAAGATTGGACACAGGTAAAACAAGATTGCTTACATTTCTCAGAGCATATTTTTTTATTTCCTAGATTTCTTCTCTTTTTAAGGTAATATAGTGTTTATAATAATTCGTTATGGGCCTTATACAGTGACTCACGCCTGTAATCCTAGCACTTTGGGAGGTTGAGGCGGGAGGATTGCCTGAGCTCAGAAGTCTGAGACCAGCCTAGGCAACATAGTGAGAACTTCTCTCTACAGAAGAAAAATTTTAAAAAATTATCCAGGTGTGGTGGCGTGTGCCTGTAGTCTTAGATACTTGAGAGGCTGAGGCAGAAGGTGGTTGCGGCTGCACTGAGCCATGATCATGCCACTGTACCACAACGTGGGTGACAGAGAGAGACCCTGACTCAAAAAAAAAAAGTTAATAATGGAAAAGTATTTGTGTTTTTGAAATTTCCCTTCACTTGTCATTTTCCATTGTGATGAAAATTGCTTTATTTAAGCAAAATTGCATGAAGTAAAGGGGTAGTAAAGACACTCCATAATAACTTATGAACTGTAAATTGCAAGTTATAAATAGTAATTTGCAATGTTCCCCAGACATTAAGAATCAGCTTTTGTCTGAGTTTCACATCTGTTAGGCTTTTAGCATTTTCTTGTATGTTTATTTCAATAAATATTCTGATTTCATTGCCTTCAGAATACTATCTAAAGTATGTGGAAAAATATAACATTTATTTACTAATAATAAAGCTATGTGTGATTCTTGTAGAAAGGGCAAGAAATTTAGAATTAGGAAATTGCTTGTGTCATTTTATATATAATTTAGGCAGGGTACTTGTGCTAACCTGGCTTAATTTTTCGCATCTGTAAAATGTGGTTGATGATAATGCCATGTATATTATTGCACATCATTGTTATGAAGACTAGATGAACTGTTAAATATGAGTACTTTGTAAATCCTAAAACTATATTTTGGTGGATGAAATTGTCATGATGATGTTAATAATGATTACATGTCACTTCATATTTTTGTGCCACTTTCATGGACATGGTACAGCCTTTTTTCTTTCTTTTTTTTTTCCTGAGAACTGCATGAAGTTTCTTATATAATTAATTAATAAGGTTGACATGAATTTATATTGTATACTCAGAATACTATTCATTGGTTTTCTATGAGGTCCCTCCCCATAGTTCCTCTTCACTAAGTTTTGGGTAAGAACTCTTAGAAGTGCAGCTGCAGAATAGTCTTAATTCCATCTTGGTTTGTGTTCTTCTGGACTCTGTTGAAATGTGTGTGTAGCCCATGTCAGATATATCTCTATATTATATAACTTTTGCATGTGCTTTTAAAAATAATTTTATGTCTTCAAATCAGAATTGGAAAAATGGAAGGAAAAGTACAAAGATTTGGAAACCAAAAATAATCAGGGGTCAAGTAATGAACTTGAAGACAGCACAGATGTACTTATTAAAAAACTCAGTAATCTTCAGGACAAGTTACAGGTATGATTTGGCCTATCTATGTTTCCATGTATGTATGTATGTACCTACATTATGTTTCTAATAAAAGGAGAATTCAGTATTGTATATTTTGTAGTTAATTTAGATATGAGTGCAATAATACCTGGGAAATGTTACTATATAGATACAATTTTTCAGTGTACATTGAAATGACATAGGGGAAGAAATTCCCAGCATACAAACTATTAAGTGCCAATGAAAGTGCAGTTGACCAGGCATGGTGGCAAAATGCTGTAATCTCAGCATTTTTGGAGGCCAAGGAAAGGAAGAAAGAAAGAAAGAGGGGAAGGGAGAAACTAACTACTTAAGGACTTCTTGTAGCAGCTAGGTAAAACAATTCCTACACCCCAAACAATTAAAAAAAATAAATTATTTTCTTAAATTTTGATACTGAAAGCAAATAAAACAGAACTTTACTTTGTAATAATTATATATTTTATATACATATATATCCTTTTATAGTATAGATCCTTTTCATTGTGAAAATCCAAAAGCAGAATAAAGTAACAAATACTCCATTATGAAGCGCAGCTTGTCAGTATAGAGAATGTTCACACTAAGAAGTACTGGTGTGTTTTACATTGTGGTAAAATGATGTAATCCCATTATTTTAGATGATAAATTTTGTAATCCTGGAATGCACTGCATAGCTTATCTAGCACAGTGATTTTAAAAGTTTAAAAAAGTGGCTTTAATGGTTTTGTTTCAAATGAAGTTTTACTTGGATTTTGAATACATAAAATTAAAATCAACTATATTCTCTGTCCAGTTGTTCTGAATATTCCCTTAATAAATGTTTGTGCTGTGCACAAGTTATTTTTATTTAATATCTTGTATGCCTAAGAATCTTTTATTTTTGCAACTATACGATCTTTTTGTTTTTTGCCCTGGCTTTTAGGAAAACTTGAGTCACTTTAACTCTTTCAGAAATTTAAGTTATTTCTTCTTATGGTCATTGATAAAGAAAAGTACTTAAAGTGGACTTAAAGCAAAATATAAAGGAAATACTGTTTAGGAAAGCAAACCAGCTTATTTTTTTAAATCATCTGACACAAACTCTGATCTTGTCATATTTTAAGAAAAACATTTATTTTAAAGTTTTGTTGTTTTTATTTTTTTGAGTTGGAGTCTCACTCCTTTGCCCAGAGTGGAGTGCAGTGGCACGCATGCTCACGGCCACCCCAGCCAACCTGCTGGACTCTGGCGATCCTTCCGCCTCAGCCTTCCAAGAAGCTGGAACTACAGATGTGTGCTACCATGCTCAGCTATTTTATTTTTATTGTAGAGACAAGGTCTCGCCAAGTTGCCCAGGGTGGTCTCAAACCTGCAGGCACAGGCAATCCACTCACCTCGGCCTCCCAAAGTGCTGGAATTACAGGCTGAGCCACCGAGCCCGGCTATTTTAAAGTTTTTTAAAAGCAAAGAAGTGATGGATTGTATGAAAATGTGGTAGAACCAAATTTTTGACTAATCCTTAGGCATGTGATAATAACTTGTTCCATTTATACATATAGGAGTGTGAACAGAAATATAAAGCTGATAGAAATAAATGGTTAGAAGACAAAATGATGCTTCTTACTCAGGCAAAAGAAGCAGAGAATCTACGAAACAAGGAGATGAAAAAATATGCTGAAGACAGGGAGCGTTTTTTAAAGCAACAAAATGAAGTGGTTAGTAATAACTATGTCCTTTATGTATTTCACCTGTCTTTGTTGATTTGCTGAATTAATTTTTTAAGATTCTTCTCAGTCTCTACATGGTTGCCTTTTTTTTGTTTGTTTTTTAAAGACAAATGGTTTATTTGTAAAATATCTTTTCACAGTTATTCTTGACATTCATTTATGTTCTTGTTACCTTTTTTCAGTCCATTTAGCATGTTGGGAAAATACCTAAATGCTTTTCACTGTCTAGATACTGCAGTTAAAAATCTCTTTTTGACTGCTATAGAGTATTCCCTACTATATTTTAGAAGTTTCTGTGTTTTGAACTGTAGATTTCTGAACATGGTTGTATGCATTTTACCTCATAAGCCAATTTTATTAGGACTTTTTGTTAAATAGTTTCTAGAAGACTAACATAATGATAGAAACGATGTTCAGTTGTGCATTAACTAGCGGAAGCACTTACAAGTGTAATGACTGTCTTAGCCTGTTTTTTTCTTCCGTTTTAATTGACACTTAGTCTGTTTGACGTTCTGTGTTGCCAGTTAGAAAAAAGAAGTTAAAAGTTATTTTAGGAAATCTATTGAGCAACATTTAAAGATTAATTTTAAATGGAAAACCAATTATTTACCCAGCTAAGCTGCTCCTCGATTTCTGACCCACAGAGACTGAGATAATAAATATTTGCTGTTTTAAGCTACTAGATTCCCTTTCTTTCTTCCTATTTCTCTTCCTCTCTCTCTCTCTTTCCTTTTCCTTTCCTTTCCTCTCCTCCCCTCTCCTTTGTCTCTCTTTCTTTCTAGTGGTAAATAACTAGTACAGTATCTATGGAATCCGATTCTCTGTCTGTTGAGTTTTTGATACTAGATAATGAAAATATTATGAGTTACTATATTTTACTAGTATTTTTGAATTTTATCAAATATTTTTTAATAATTCCATAAAAACTTTTAAAAACTCATTTCCATTTTTCTTTATCTTGTAAGAATTTAATTTAAATAAATGATTAATATTTTGGTTAAAAAAAGAAAGAAAAACCAGTTATCTGTTTGTAGTATCATATTGTTATCTGTTGGCATTTTCTTTTTTGTGTGTGATAGAATTTGATTTATAATAGATAAGTTGATGATGGTTTCCCCTAACAGAGTTGGCCAGTTTTATTTTTTTATTTTTTTAATTTTTTATTTTTTTGAGTTGGAGTCTCACTCGGTCGCCCAGACTGGAGTGCAGTGGCCGCTCCCGGCCACCGCAGCCTCGACCTGCTGGGCTCCGGTGATCCTTCAGCCTCAGCCTTCTGAGTAGCTGGAATTACAGGCGCGCGCTACCACGCCCGGCTGATTTTTTGATTTATTGTAGAGATGAGGTCTCGCTGCCCAAGCGGGTCTCGAACCCGCGGGCTCAGGCAATCCACTCACCTCAGCCTCCCAAAGGCGCGGGATTACAGGCTGAGCCACCGAGCCCGGCTGAACTAACATCTTAATATTGAGTCTTCTGATCTTTGAACATAGATTCTCCATTTATTTAGGTGTTTTTTAATCTCAGCAATGTTTAATAGTTTTTCATGTTTAGCTTTTACATACAATTTCTTTAATTTACCACTAAATATTTTATGATTTTTTAACTTATGGTAAATGGCATTTTAACAAATTTTTATCTTTCTCTTCATTGCTGTTAGTTTTATCATTTGTTATGCTGTAATTTTACCCTCTTATTTTCCAAATATGGTAGAAATGCTGAGATTAATTTAAAAGCTATAGTTAAAATTGTTTATTGAAAGAATTTACCAATAAGCTGATTTTTGGAATGTGGTGGGATAGGCATAAATATAGCATGCGAACAGTTAGGTTTTAAAGTGATATTATTTTCTTTATAGGCAAATTTTTTACCTAGAATTGACTATTCTTTTATATATCTTATTCACAGCAGTATTCTTGTTGTTATATGTAGTACAAATTTCTGAATATTCTTAGACTCATAATGTTTCAAGGTTTACTTTTTTGTCTTTATTTTCTGGTTAGGAAAAACTGACAGCACAGTTGGCAGAGAAAGATAATGACCTTCAAAAGTGGCGAGAAGAACGGGATCAGCTGGTTGCAGCTTTAGATTTGCAGCTGAAAGCACTGATCTCCAGCAGCATACAAAAAGATAATGAAATTGAACAATTAAAAAAGGTCACATCAGAGACTTCCAAAACAGTCAGTAGAATCTTGTTCTTTCTGTCCTTTTTAAAAATTGAACATAGTAATTTTTCAGAATTATTTAACTGATTAACTCTTAATATTAAAAAAGTAAGTCTCAATAGACGAGAGAGGAACCAGAGTTTGAAAAATTTGTATTTCTCATGAATTTTCCATTTTTTGGATTTATCGTTGTGATTGATTTGCCAATGAATACAGCACTTTCTCTAATACTTGGATTATATCTCCCAGGCAGCGTAATTAGAGTATCAACAATTTATTATTAGTCCTTAATCTTCCTTTAAAATGTGAAAATGTGATTTAACATGAACTCTTAGTGATTTTGAATACTTGGATGCACCCTTATGTTTACTGTATAAAGATACAATTTATTTTCAAAGTAAGCCCAATGGTGGGGAGACATCATGAATCATTTAGCTGTTGCTTTTGTAATATATGTTTTAGTGCTGGATGAATGAAGAGACAATTGCCTTTCACAGATAGCTGCTTCCTAGTAAATAGAGTCTAGGTTCAGCCAAAGCTAGTCTTTCTGGAATAAATGATTTGTACTTAAAAATCTGCTGCTCTAAAGCCTTTGGACAATAGGAGAAACATATATTTGTGTTGCATCAAAAGACTTCATGATTCTAAGAGAGATGGCCTGCTTTAACAAGAGATAATTTCATGTTGTTTAATAACGCAGGCTAGAAAGTCAGAAAAACTAGGTCAGAAAGCAGAAAAACTGCTGTCACTGTGATTTTGGAACCTTGGGGGAAAATTACTTATCATTTCTGAACTTTATTCTAAAACAGATAATAGTGTCTTCCTAATAGAGTTGTGAAATTAATGAAGGTATGGTAAAACAAGTAGCATATTTCTTACTCCAGTGGAAGCCAGTGCATGCTAGTTCCTTTTTTTTTTTTTGCTTTCTCTATGAATTCAGTGAAATCTTTCTTGTGTGGCAATACTGGGTAGGTAACATAAAAAGTGGATCTGATTTTTTTGTTTTGATGACTTTGATGAGAAGGTTTGTGTTGAAATTTATGAAGTTTAAAAACGTAATCCGGTATTTCTTTATAAATCACATAAGTGAGGCTTAGGAATAGCTATGAATGAGAAAATGGGATGAGAAGTTTACTGTAAGAAAGGATTTAGTTTTCATTATGACCTTTTCTATGGTAATGCTAGAGTTGCATTCCCAAGAATCCCCTAGTTTTTCAGAATTGTATTATCAAAAGCTCTTGTTGGGGCTTAAATTCCAACTCACTGCAGGCCTTGGCCATGTTAAAGTGAGAGAATGTATGCAAAATGCTTTGGAAGTTGAAAGCAATTTCTCAGATTTTTTCCTTAAATCACAGACTCAGAAGAGGCTGGAAAGTTGCCCAGTCTTTCCTGAATCTTTGAGGATGAAAGGTGAGAGAGTTAGGTGGTCATTGAAGAAGTCTTTAATTATTTTCACTGTTTAGTCTACCTAAACCTTGATTTTATATTCTTTATGTGAAGTGTTTTTTAATATATTTTCAGGTTACAGTGACTTATTGCTTTGATAATTTCTTACTTTAGGAAACACAAACCATGATTATTAAGCCCATACATATTAGTTCAACCGATCTTGGCAAACTCGAAACTGAAACTCATTCAACAAGTTTGGAAATTTCCAAGAATGAAGTAGAGGTGGGTATTTGGTAGCACAGTCCACTTTCTACTGTATTCATCCACCAATAATCACTAAATAGCACCTAGAAATGTAATCAATTGTTGTAGGTTCCTTATAGTACAATTAACTATATATGTGCTCTCAGCTGTGTGAAGGAAACTAGTAGATTTTGAGAAGTGAAATTCTTTTGGGAGATTGGATCTCACATGATGTTAATTTCTTAAACAATAGATCTATAAATATAAACAAACTTGATCAGAAATAGAAATCCCATAAAAGATAAAATGTGGATGATTATTTGCTCTCATAAGAGGTTCCTTTAATAAGCATTGTATTAAATAGTACTTTTTAAAAAATGGTATTAATTTAATAGCTTTGTCATAAGCCTTCAATAACAACTCATGAGTTTTCTTAATTTGCATTGGACTTAGGGTCCTGTGAATAAATTTGGATAATATAGAGATTCTCAGGTTGGATATGAAATAAATATTCTGTGTCACTTAAGTTTTTATTTATTTATTTTTTTGAGTTAAGTTCCCATGCTGTCGCCAGGCCAGAGTTCAGTGGCATGATCACAGCTCACCACAACCTTCACCTCCTGGTCTCAGGTGATCCTTCCACCTCAGCCTCCCAAGTAGCTGGAACTATAGGCGCGTACAACAACGCCTGGCTAATTTTTTGATTTTTTTTTTTGTAGAGACGAGGTCTCACTAATGTTACCTAGGCTGGTCTCAAACTTCTGGACTCAAGCAATACTCCTGATTTAGCCTCTCAAAGTGCTAGGATTGCAGGCATGAACCACCATGTGTTGCAGAATTTTTGAAGACAAAATTACTTTTTAAATTTATTTTTAAACACATCTTTTAGGAACTTTCAGTGTAGGAAACCTTTTTAATCACTGAGTATACAAACATAAATATGACATGGTTGCTATCCTCAATGAGTGAGGAATCCAGTATGATAGACCTATAAATTATTAACTTGTTTGACCGTAACCTCATGGGCTGTTAAAATAGAAATATGTTGTGAATGCTGCAAGAAACACTGGGGAAGATGCGATGAATTTTGCCAGAGTGGTTGTGGAGCTGGATTAGAAAAGGTGATATACTGTATCTGAAAGGTGAATAAAAGTTTACGAAGTAGAGAATGGGAAGAGAAGAACTTTAAAAGAGAGAGAGAGAGAAACACGCCTGGGTTTGAGTAATCCGCAAGTAGCTGAGACTATAGGCATGTGCGACTGCATTCAATTTATTTTAATCTGGGAAAATAATATGAGGCATTTCTTTTCTTTTGACCCTTTTTCTTTTTTCTTTTTTTGAGTTGGAGTCTCACTCTGTCGCCCAGACTGGAGTGCAGTGGCCTCCTGGCCACCGCAGCCTCGACCTGCTGGGCTCTGGCGATCCTTCCGCCTCAGCCTTCCAAGTAGCTGGAATTACAGACATGCGCTACCACGCCTGGCTGATTATTTTATTTATTGTAGAGATGAGGTCTCGCTGCCCAGGTGGGTCTTGAATCTGCGGGCTCAGGCAATCCACTCACTTCAGCCTCCCAAAGGCGCGGGATTACAGGCTGAGCCACCGAGCCCAGCTCCTTTTTCTTTTAAAAGTAGAATTTCAAGTAATTCTAAATAATTTGAAACTCTTAGTTGAGATCTCACTCTTAGTAGTTTCAAATATTTAGCATTGACCTTAGTGACTAATACAAACTAAAATCTTTGTGGAAAAGTTTCAAGTTTGATCTATAAACAGCTTAATTTTTGATTGCATGGGCGAACAAATATAATGGGACATTTATTTCTCTGTAAGTCTATTTATGTTGTCCTAAAGCCTCCACTCTCCAATTTCCTACTTATAATTCTACCAACTTGTTGTAAATTCCACAGTTTTGGGAATCACATTGTGATGCTATTTTACACTTTTATGATTCATTCACTTAGCTGGTAGATTCTGGGAGTTCCACTGGACTTGTATGTGGTCTCTGCCTGTGGCTTGGACCTCTCACAGCACAGTGGCTGGATGCAGAGATGGAGCATTTTGAGGAGTGTCTCGAAAGTTTTCCAAGTGGACGAGATGGAAATTGCAATGCTTCTTATGACTGAGCCTTAGAAGTACTATGTTGTTATTTCTGCCACATTTTATTAGCCATGGAAGTCATGAAGGTTGGCCTGAATTCAAGGAGAGGGGAATGAGAGATTCCATCCCTCAATTGGAAGAGTAGCAAAGAACTTGCAGCCAACTTTAATTTATCATAACTGATATGCTCGTTACAAATCCCAGTTCCCCTCCCTTAGAAATTTTTTAGTAGGTTTGTGGTAGGGTCCGGGAACTTTTAAACAAATTCTCTAGGTAATTCTTAATGATCATACAAGTTTGGAAAATACTGCTCTCTAAGTTTCGTTGAATTTTAACATACCATTATAGACTGGAGAGGGTGGACAATAACTCAATCATTCTGTCCTTGCTGTGGCCCAACACATTTTTTATTTTTCCTAGTTCATTGTCTCAGATAGGCATTTGAGAGAATTAATTTTTTGTGGTTAATAAATTCAATGCACTAATCTTTTTTTCTTTTTTAATTCTGTTGTAGGATGGATCTGTGGTCCTTGACTCTTGTGAAGTGTCAACAGAAAATGATCAAAGTTCTCGATTTCCAAAACCTGAGTTAGAGATTCAGTTTACACCTTTACGGCCAAACCAAATGGCAGTGAAGCACTCTGGTTGTACCATACCAGTGACAGTTAAGATTTCCAAGGCCCGGAAGAGGAAGAGTAATGAAATGGAGGAGGTAAATACTTAACTGATGCGTAAATTTAACAAGCAAATCTTACTAAGCTCAGTTATAGTATATAGTTAATCTTTGCTACACTTCCTTCCTGTTTGTAAGTACCACTGTTAGAGATCAAAATCATAATCTATGGGGTGGGTACGGTGGCTCACATTTGTAATCCTAACACAAATGTTAGGATTTGTGGGAGGCTGAGGGAGGAGAATCGCTTGAGCCCAGGAATTAAAGACCAGCCTAGGCAACACAGCTAGACCTCTACAAAATCTCAAAAAATTCGCCTGTCGTACTAGCGACTTGGGAGGCTGAACCCTCATGGGTTCAGGTGATCAAGGCTATGGTGAGCCGTGATCATGCCACTGCACTCTAGTCTGGGTGACAGAGTGAAACTCTGACTAAAGAAAAAAAAGAAAAAAGAACCATTATCTAAAGTGATAATATGATAATATCTTTTTACAGATTTTCTTTTTTGAGTCTAGAGAAAGAAAATATTGTCAAGAAATTAACTGGCATTTACGTTCATTAATTTTAGGACTTGGTGAAATGTGAAAATAAAAAGAATGCTACACCCAGAACTAATTTGAAGTTCTCTCTCTTGGAGTATAGCAACTCTTCTGGCAAAAAGGAGCAACAGGTTCGTTTTTTAATTTGTCCCAAACTGTAGCAATTACCCACAAATCCATTCGTATACAATTATAACTAATTTGTCTTCTAGTTTCTATATATCTTATTTAGCTCAGAATATATTCTTTACCATCCAGTAGCAGACAGTTCTTCATGTGCTTACTTCTGACTTTAAGCTCATTTTGCCTGTCAAGCTCATTTTGCCAGTCCTTGGTCCTCTCATCTCTCTCCTCATATTCTTAATCCCAAATTCCCTACCTGAGAATTTATAACCTGCCTCTCTTCTCTTTAATTCAACTGTAACTATTTCTGTAACTATTTCCGTCTGACATTCCTCATCAGCGATAACAAAATATGTTTCTTTATTAGGTTTCAACACGCCCCTCATCAAAGAAAACATATTCTTTACGGAGTCAGGCATCCACAATTAGTGTAAATTTGGCCACTAAGAAAAAGGAAGGAACGCTACAGAAATTTGGAGAGTTCTTACAAAGTTCTCCAACAATTCTTCAATCAAAAGGTTTGTAGAAAATTAATTACATGACCTTTTTTGTTAGATGTAGTGTACTGTCTAATACCTAATTAGTGTATCAACTCAACTGTTCATTGAGTATTATACTTTAGACAGGCATTGTCTAATACTAGGTGCTGTGGGAAGAAACAGACGAAAGGACGATATGCCGGGGTGTTCGCTGTGTAGTAGAGGAGAAAGGCTTATAGTTAAGTAATTGATCAGAGTAGGCTGCTTAATATAGTAACAGAGGTACAAGCAAAGTAGTGTGATAGTATTGCAGGGAAGAGAGCTATTTTATGGAGGAGAAGGGATTTAGCCTGTGTTTTAAAATGTTGGCAGGATTACACCCTCTAGAGGTAGTCACTGTTGGTATTATGGTATATATCCTTCTAGCAATAAGGTCATTATCAAGGGGGAAAGTAATATATCATTTTGAAACTGCAAACTACCTTGAGCTATGGACTTTCACTGTTTTCCTTGAAGATTAAAAATATTTTGATGTGTTCCTATAAGTTTGCTGCAGCATCCCTTAGTTCACAGTTTGAGAACTTCAGTCTTGACATACCCACTTAAGTACATTAAAAAAAAATACATTTTAAAAAATGTAGACTTTGTATAAACATAGAAAATATCTGGAGGGACAAACAGCAAACTGTTACATGTCTAAATTTGGAGAGGAAGGACTTTGTATTTTATATTTTACATATTTTACATAAATTATATAGACTATTATATATGTTTTCAAGGAGAGGGAGGTATCTATAAATAATCAAGGAAGGTAATGACTCCTTTATTTGAATGACTCAGATCCTTAACAGCTTCTCTACCAAGAGGAAATGGCATGGATTTTTTTTTTTCACTTATTTCTAGAAATATAAGATATCCTTATTTTGTGTTGTAACTGCAATACGTATTTGTTGTGGATCAATTGGAAGTACAGGGAACAAAGAAAAAATAGAAAATTAGGCTGTACTTAAAATTCTGCTGCTCTGATGACCACTGTTAATCCATCACTCGGTGCCACTGGTCTCCCAGCTTCCCTCTGGCCCATCTCCTGTCCATTCAGCACATGACAGCCAGACTGGTCTTTCCAAAGCGCAAGCTGAATTATGTTACTCTCTGTTTTAAATCCTTTGATGGTTTCCCATTCTCCTGAATGATATAATTTCTTCCTCTCTCTCCAACCTATCTAGCTTCTGACAGTTCCTGGAATATGCTGACTTTCTTACTTTTTAACACAACCTACTTTTTCTCATCGCTACTTCCTTATTTATCCCTGAGCTTTCATAGTTGATGCTGCTTTATCAGGGAGGCACCTTCCTTCATCATCCTGTCACTAACCCTCATCCCCAGTGTCACTTAATCTTTATTACTCAATCCTAGTCTTTTTAGCATTTATTTATACTATAATTGTTTCCTTATCTTCTTCACTAAAATGTAAGCTACACAAGGACAAAAGTATCTTACTCATGCCCTCAGCTCTTAGAATAGTGGCTGGCACATAATAGTGAGGGGTTTGTCTCTAGGCCAAAATTATATGTGTGATTTTTTTTTTTCCAGGCAATTACAGAGACTTACCTGATAGGCCTCATGGGAGAAAGCATCCCTTTCTATACCAGACTGGGTGCACAACTAGTGCATTATAGTTTCCTAAGGGAGTCGTTGTCAAGGACCCAGGCCCCCAGACCAATGGTGTGCCTACACATACCTGCATTTTTAGCCTAGGTGCCTCCGTTCAGAACTTTTTTATTAAGGCCTTCAGCAGAGGTCTTCCTCAGATGTCTGTGCTAAAGGCCTGAGGGGAAGTAACCTCGAAGGCACTTTTCTCTACTGTGACTCAGTACTTCTGCTTGTAGTCCCCCCTAGCCTCCAGCCTCCAGGACCATTAAACCGCAAGAGCCTTTTATTTAGGAGTGCCTGGGCAGTAAGATGACCCCACTTTTGTGCTGATCCACCTGACCCTAGATTGCATACCTCTCCATGGGGGAATATAGAAGAGAGTGGGGAGGAGCCGATGCTTTCTTAGGCTTAACTTCTTGCTCATGTTGTTGCATAAGTTGTGAGAAGACTGGGGTGTTGCTTTCATTTTGTAAAGGCTGTTGTCTTGTTTGGCTACTCTGATACCTGGAAGCTCAGCTCACTCAAGCTCAGCTCAGCCCTTGGCAAGTAGACTCTCAATTTAGTGTATTTTCTTTATGTTTTTTCTATTAAAAAAAATAGTTGATACCATATGTTTGTGGGTTTTCTACCCTGGAACTTTCTCAGATGGAAATATGTTTTTTATTAAAGTCAATATCTGTTCACTAATAAAAGCAAATGTACAAAGTAAAGAATTTAAAAATTTCTATTTTATTTCCCAGAAGGAATCAACTGTTAACAGTTTGGTTTCTATCTTTTAATGTCTCTGTGTGTATGTGAACCATAAGTAAAGGGCTTATAATTGCAAAGTATTTTCTTTTAATATTTATTATGGACATCTTTGTACATGAGCACGGAACTAGATCATCTCTACCTTATTTTTATTGCTGCACGGTTCACTATATGTGTATCTTGCTCTTTTGCTTGACCGCATAAACCTCTTTCAAGTCATTAAAGATGCCTGAGTTTTACTGGTTATAATTTACTGAAACCTTTTTACTATCTAGAACATTAGTCAAATGATATTTTATTTATTGGCTGCTTTTTTTTTTTGCTGTTGGTTATTATTTCATGTGTTTCTTTGGCATTGAAGTTTTGCATGTGGGTGAATTGTCTATTCATATTCTTTCACCAATTATATGTTGTAGTGTTTGTAATTTATGTATGTTCTTTATTAAGTTTTTTAAACCTTTGCAATTAGAAAATTATTTCGGGAAATCATTAACATTTTTATTTCATAGCAAAGAAGATAATTGAAACAATGAGCTCTTCAAAGCTCTCAAATGTAGAGGCAAGTAAAGAAAATGTGTCTCGACCAAAACGATCCAAACGGAAATTATACACAAATGAAATTTCATCTCCTATTAACATATCAGGCCAAGTGGTAAGCTAGTATTTCAGTTTTCATTAATGTAAAACTGTTGGTGTTCTTTTTAATTTTTTACGATAGCTTGGATTTCTGTTCTTTAGATCAGAGCCCTTAAAACATATACTTTTAAAGGTCATACTTTTGGGCTCAGATGTGTTAAATTTAAACTAATGAAATATAAGCACTGTATTAAGTATACAGGTGTCACACATTTGCCTTATTTCCATCAATAGAACTATTGCTGTTTAGCAACTTATTGGCCTCTAACATCTATTTTGTTTTTTGCTGTTATCTTTATCACAAGAGTTATACAAATCTGAGTCCAAATTTGCCTGGTAAAATTATAGAATTGACATTCAGCTATTTCCTCCCACCTTTCCTCTGAGCCTTCCGGGTTCTACTGAGAAAAGATTGTAGTTGCCATCTTGACTCTATGACTCGTTCTCCTTACCCTGAACAGTCTGTGCTATTTCAGGGAAACTTCTAATTTTCTATCATGTTTGCATTTGTTTAGTGGATGAAAGTGAAGGTAGAAAAGTGATTAAAGGAAAAGACTTCAAAAGGAAAGGGCCAAGAAAAGCCAGGAGAAACCTTTTTTGCAATAGTAATTACCAGATATGAGACTGACACTTGAAGGCAAGTGGTCAAGAATTAGGGTCAGTTAGGGTATGCTGATGTAAGTACTGTTTTTTCAGCCACTTTTCACCATCTGTCTGATTAGTACATCATTTCCTCCCCTGACTGAAAATTATTTCTTTTCTTAGTTGCAGTATAATGTGCTTTCTGGTTTCTAAGTTACATACTTGTTGCTGTGAAAGATCATTTCTTAAAAATTATTTGAGCCACTTGTCTCCAAATATTTTAATAATTATTTTACGCTATATCTGCCCTGGTACAATACAGTGTGGGTTAATGATAGAATTAGGCAGTATTGACAGAATCTTTACAACATCTATTTTTTTTATAGCGTGTACTTTTATAGCAGGTGGTATGCCTGCAGTCTAAGAACACAAAAAATGGATGTACTTATTTCCATTATTAAGCACACAAACATATCTTATTCATCATAAACAAGCTTTTAGGCCAGGCATGGTAGCTCACACCTGTAGTAATCTCAGCACTTTGGGAGGCTGAGGCAGGAGGATTGCTTGAGCCTAGGAGTTCGAGACCAGCCTAGGAAACATAGCAAGATCGCATCTCTACAAAAAATAAAAAAATTAACTGGGTGTGGTGGCACGTGCCTGTGGTCCCAACTGCTCAAGAGGCTGAGGTGGAGGAAGGATTGCTTGAGCCCTGGAGGTCGAGGCTGTGGTGAACCATGGCTGTAGACCAAAAACAACAACAACAAAACAAACAGGCTTTTACTTTTGTTAATTTCAGATTTTAACAGAAGAGAAAATGAAGGAGAGTGATCACCAGATTCTCAAACGACGACTTCGAATGAAAACAGCCAAATAAATCACCTGTGGAAAATGTTTTAATATAAATTTTATAGCCATAATTATTGTAACTTACATCCTGACTTTGTAAAGATAATTGTATATATTATGATGCACTAAATTCCTCTGCATATGGACTGCTGTTTTATACATAGTATAATTTTAGTTCAATAAATAAATCAATAATCTATTTACTTGTGTACTTTTATAAGGCTTTTTTTTATTTATAAAAGCTTCTTTTCAAACTACATGCATTTTCCTTTTTTCTCAGGTATATTGAATCAGTAAAAGTCCTAGGAAAGATGCTGTTATTCTCATTTTTCTATACATGATATCATAGTTCAGGTATTTGGTTTACTTATATTTGACAATGCCTTATGAATTGTTTTTACTTGATCTGTCCAGATATACAACTGATTTTACTTATCTGCTTGGATTATAGCTAAGATTTAGGGAGTAAGTGGGTAAGGTCTTCTTTTTGGCAAAAAATGAATGTATATTATTTAGAAAAGATCTGAAGTCTTTAGTATGTCTTTTTTTTTAATATATATAATCTATGGAGTTGACTTTCTGATTTTTTTTTTTTTGGACACAGAAGATTAGAAATAGAAAATTAGAAAGAAAGAAGAGAGAGCTTCTAGAAGGCACAACAGTGACAACTAGAAAATAAATAGAATTTTAGACCCAGAGGGACCTTAGAAATGCATTTTCTTCATTTTACAGATGTGAAAAAACCAAGAGCCATAAAGTTTACTTACATCTACAAGGTCATACAGCTAAGCTAAGTGTGTTGAGCTATTGGTTTAAAAAAAATTAATAAGAGACAAAAAACATAAAAGCAGAAACCTCAAGAACTGTTGTCAATTGGGGCTTTTACATTTATGCATCTAAAGCCTTAAAGGCTTTATTGAGTTTTAGCATTGTTTATTATTTAATGATGACCCTGAGTCAGCAAGAAAAGTTATTTTTGGTTTTTGTTTAGGAGGCACATTATATTTAGGGAAAATTTCCATTAAGATAGTTATAATGCCTGGTGTGGTGGTTCAAGCCTGTAATCCCAGCACTTTGGGAGGCCAAGGTGAGCGAATTGCCTGAGTCCATGGGTTCAAGAACAGCCTGGGCACCCTTGGTGAGACCTCATCTCTATGATAAGAATAAAAAAAAATCAGGTGGTGTGGTAGCACACACCTGTAGTTCCGGCTACTTGGAAAGCTGAGTGGAAGGATCGCCTGAGCGCACCAGGTTGATGCTGGGGTGGCCGTGAGCATGCCACTGCTCTCCAGCCTGGGCGACGGAGTGATACTCCAACTCAAAAAAATAAAAATAATAAAACAAAATAGTTATAATAACACTTAACCTTTTGAAAGCATTACAATGTTTTCATTATGCTGTCTAGAAAAATAGTTGATTCTCGTTATTCATGGATTTCATATTTGCAAATTTGCTTACTTGATAAAATTTATTTGTAACTCCTAAATTTATATTTAGCATTTTTTGTCATTTGTGGATATGTGCAGAGTGGCAACAAATTTGAATTGACCCAAACATGTACATTCCCTGCTGACAATGAATAAGGCAACACTCTGTCGCCTTATATCAGTTCCTATCCTGTGGTAAGTGTCCACATCCCAGAATGTAATAGTCCTGGATAACATCCACAACAGAGACAGAGTTTGGAGGGGGAGTCTTGCCAAATTAGAAGGGCTTGAGAAATACCCTGGGCTTTTCACAAATCCACACTAACAAAGCATGAAACCAAGTAGTCAAATGCCTACCAGAACAAAAATCAGCACTTTAAAAGGGAGATACAATGCAGACTCTCTACAACATATCTTTTATCATGAGTGGTGTACAGTCACAAATTACTAGGAATGGAAAGAAATAGGAACACAAATTCCATGGTAAAGAAAGCAGAAAAGAAAAATATGCCCAAAAGTTAAATTTTGAAAACTCTTCAAGGCGGCTATTATTTGCCTATTCAAGGATATAAAGGACACGTACCTTAATGAGTGAAACGATAAGGAAAGAGAAATGGAAAGTATAAAGAGGAAGACAAATTGTTACAACAGAAAGGTAAAATATCTGAAATGGAAAATCTACTGGATACAATTAACCAATTAGAGATGTTAGAAGATAAAATTAACAGATTAGAGATGTTGGAAGAAAATGTCAGTGACTTGAAACAATTTAAAGTATGCAGTCTGAATAAAAGATTGAAGTAAAAAAGAAGCCTCAGGGCCTTGTGGAATAATATCAAAAGAACTAACAATCTATGTACTTGGAGATCCAGAATAAAAGAATGAAAATAAGTCAGGAATAAAATATATTTGAAGAAATAATGGCCAACATTTTCCAACTTTTATGAAGAAATACTGACTTAGAAGCCCTGAAAATCTCAATTAGGATAAGTACAAATAAAACAACACCTGGAAAGGTCATTGTCTGGAAACCACGATAAAGAGAAAATCTTGAAAGCAACCTGAAAAAAACAACATATTGCATACAAGCTGCCGACTGGAAGGAAATATTTGCAATACACTCATCAACAAAGGAATTATATAAAAAGTAAACTTTTAAAATTGTAATGAAATGCAAACCAATAACCTGGCAAAAGACTTAAACAGATGCTTCCTTAAAGAAGATAATAGACAGTGGTCAGAATGTATATGAAAACATACTAGGGTACTGGTGACCAGGGACATGGAAATTAAAGCCACAAGGAGAGGCAAAGCAAAAATAACGGAAAGATTTGCAAGAGGCTGGAGTCGGGGCACGGGGTCAAGGGACATGAGGAAATGGGAAATGGATATGTTTTATAATTTGTCATGTATTCCGTATACAATTACGAAAAATCAAATTTGTCCATTTGAAATGGGTCAAATTTATTGTATAAAACTTTACCTAAATAAAAAGCTGGAAAAGTAAAACACACGCTGAGATACCTTTCCATGGAGACCAGCATAGCTAAAATTAGAAAACAATACCAAGAGAAAGTTTCTGGCTTCTAGAATATATTAATTTTTTTTTCTTTTCATACAGTAAGTGCACTTTTTATTACAACAAGAGATCATATTTTGGGAAATGTTGTGGATGCATCTTTTGACAATTGAACTGTAAAGTATGGTGAGTTAGAAATACAGAATTAGTAATTGAAGCAGACCGGGTGTGGTGGCTCACACCTATAATCCCGGCACTTTGAGAGGCCAAGGTGAGAGGATTGCCTGAGCTCATGGGTTGAGACCAGCCCAGGCAACTTGGCGAGACCTCATCTCTACAGTAAATCAAAAAATTAACTGGGAGTGGTGGCGCATGCCTGTAGTTACAGTTACTTGGAAGGCTGAGGTGGAAGGATCGCCTCAATCCAGCAGGTCAAGGCTGCGGTGGCCATGAGTGTGCCACTGTACTCCAACTTGGGCAACAGAGACACCAACTCAAAATAATAATAATAATAATAATAATAATAATAATAATTGAAGCGTTTGATTTAAACTCACTGGATTTAATGAGTTTAATGATTTAAACTCATTATTAACAAGTGTTAATAATTCCATTTGCTGAAGTGGTTGAGAGAAGCAGATTTTGGGGACATTTTGAAATTCCACAGATGATACTCAGAATGGTGTGTAAGATTGGTTGAATTAATTCTAAATGCCCTGGGGAAGATCATTAGAAGAATCCTGTGGTGAAGACTCTTGCAAAGAAAATAACTTTAATTTGGAGAATAATCACTTTCTAATCTGTTTCACAAGTGTAAAGTTTTATGTTTTTTTTTTTAGAGAAGCTTCACCTGTATGTAATTACAAGTTGTTTAGCAAATGCTTATCAAAAATTGTTGATGATGATAAATACTATAAAGACACGAGAAGAAAGCCAAATATTTCATGTCTAAACATGGAAAGAGGATATATGCTACTTGATCCTCTCTTGATGATGAGTTTTTGGTCTTCAGTGGCAGTGAAGACAGAGAATACTAAAGCCATGGGAACAACTCCAGGTAAGTTGAGAAGAATATTTATTGGTGTTTCATCCCTGTGGCTTTTCGGGAGGCTTGTTCATCACTTGGTTCACTTGGCTTTTGTGAAGTCATGGTCCGATGTAAGGAATGTTCTTGCTGATCCCAGTCTTCTTAAATGGCAGCCAGAAGGAGGTACAATGAATGAAATGTCCTGGCTACCCTCATCCACCAGGTGAACTTGCACTTCACCTCCTGGCCTTCCTAATTCTGATCTTTCATCACTGCTTTGGCTCAGGAGAGAAGCCTTTTAGCTGGTACTTGATCTCTGCTTCTAGCTATCACTGCAGCTTTAATTGCAATGGTAGCAGTTTAATCAAGATGGGCATTTTCCTTTCCAAAAATTTTCTTTTATTTTGAGTTGGAGTCTCTGTCGCTCAGACTGGAGTGCAGTGGCCAGCTCACAGCCACCACAGCCTCGACCTGCTGGTCTCAGGCGATACTTCCACCTCGGGCTTCCAAGTACCTGGAACTACAGGTGCCTGCCACCACGCCTAATCCATTTTATGATTTGTAGAAACCAGGTCTTGCCAAGTTGCCCAGGCTAGTCTTGAACCCATGGGCTCAGGCAATCTTCTCACCTCAGCGTCCTGATGTGCTGGGATTATAGGTGTGAGCCACCGTGCCCGGTCTCTTTCCGCACATTTTCCAAAGCATGGAGGCTGTGTTATATCTACTTTGGCCAGATCCTGAAGCGTCACCAGGCTGGACATTGGACTGGAATTTTTCTTACTGGTGAATTTGTTTCTTCAAAGCCCTTCATTTATTATAGGTGACTAACACCTGTGAACTGATACTTGAACTTTGTCAGAGTTTTACATACATAATGTCTCTAGTTTCCGAAAACACTGAACTCATTAAGGAAATTTAGGCTTTTCTTAAACTTGTTTCATGGCCAGGTAAGCTCAACTTCCATAAATGGGATTCTTCATTTTGACTTTCTGAACTTAAGGCTTGAACTAGCATAGCCTATTCCAATTAATAGTATAAATGATAAATAAAATAATTGCTTTTTGACTGTAGTTAAAAGTTTGGTCAGTTTGGTTTCTTTTTTTTTTTTTTTTTGGTTCTAAGGCATATTTTTAATATTCTTTGGGTATGCTTTCCATGTATACTAAGGACATAAATCCATGTCAGATAACAAATGGGCCTCATGGTATAGGTTCAGGATGATTAGG